AAAACTTTCATTAAGTCTTGGGAAGTTGTTCTGCTATGGTGGCAGAAACAAAATTTCCAAAATTCTAACTTTTGCTTGACATCTTAAATTTTATCATTGGTAGCAAATGCAATATTCCTTGTACTGAAAGGCTCACTTCACTTAGTTTTTGTTTTTATTCAAATTTTATTCTGAGATAATTGTAGATTCACATGCAGTTGTAAGAAACAATACAGAGAGATCTCTTGTGTGCTTTACTCAGTTTCCCCCACTGGTAACATCCTGCAAAACTAGTTATATATAGGAGTGAGGTGTGGTGGCCCATGCCTATAATCCCAACAGCTCAGTTGAGGCCAGTTCAAAGCCAGCCTCAGCAATGGCAAGGTGCTAAGCAACTCAGTGAGACCCTGTCTCTAAATAAAATACTAAATAGGGGTGGGGATGTGGCTCAGTGGCCAAGTGCCCCAAAGTTCAATTCCTAGTGCCAAAAACAAATAAACAAACAAAAAACTAGGATGTATAGGAAGTACAGTAGCACAATCAGAACAGTGACATTGATATAGTAAAGTTACAAATATATATCTATATCCTATATAAAGTTCCTATACCTATATAAAGTTGTCTTTATGTAGCCATTTTTACTTCCTCTTTGTTCTCACCTCCTTTTTATCTTCTGAAAAAACCACTAATGTGTTCTCTAATTCCATTATTTTGTCATGTAAAGAATGTTCTATTCATAGATTCATATAGTGTAGAAACTTTTGGGAATAGCTTCCCTCCCCCAGCATAATTCTTTGTAAACACGTCCAAGGATATTGTGTGTATCAGTAGTCTGTTCCTTTTTATTGGAGAACAGTCATCCATGGTATGGGTGTCTACCACCCATACCCTCATAGGCCACAGTTTGCTTCATTGTTCATTTGTTGAAAGACGTCTGGGTTGTTTCCAATTTTTGGTTATTACAAACAAAACGTCTATCAATGTTATGTACAGATTTTTCTGTGAATATGTCTTCACTTCTCTGGAATATGTGCCAGGAGAAAAATGGCTGAGTCCTAGGGTAGTTGTACCTTTCATTTTTAAAGAAATTGACAAATTGATTTGCAAAGTGGTTACACAGTATTCTCACCAGCAATGTATGAGTTTCTCTGCCTCCTTGCCAACTTTTAGAGTTGTCATTAAAAAAAATAGATTTAATTTTGTTAAGAAGTTTTAGATTCACAACAAATTCGAGCAGAATGTGCAGAGACTTCTCACATACCCCTGTCTTACCTACACATAGTCTCCCTACTGTCAACAACCTACACCAGAGTGGTACATGTGTTACAATCAAACTTTCATTGACACATAAATATCAACTGAAGTCCACCATTTACATTAGATACACTTTTGGTGTTGTACTTTCTATGGGCTTTGAGAAATGCAGAATGGCATTTATCTGCTATTATAGTGTACTCTGCCTATTCATCATTCCCTCCCCACTAATCCCTGGCAACCACTAGTTATTTTTGGTTTTGTTTTGTTTTTTAGTGTCTTCATAGTTTTTCCTTTTCTATACTGTCATATTATTGAAATCATAGGGTATATAGACTTTCCCGAATGTCTTCTTTGACTTATTGTCACTATTTTTTTAAGCTCTTCTCATGTGTATAGTGATTTCTCATTGTGACTTCAATTTGCAATCTAATTGTTAATGAGGTCTAACATCCGTGTGTGTGTGTGTGTGTGTGTGTGTGTGT